CTATGCCACAAGCATATGCGTGTGTGCGCACACACGCTACATACACACAAACAGCTAAAGGAGACAGTTCAGTGAGTAAGTGTGCCTGCTGCACAAATATGAAGACCTGAATTCAAATCTCCAGAACTCACTTAAATAGCTAGATGTAATCTCTTGCATCTGTAACCCCGACATTTCATCTGAGGATGGAGACACCAGGATCATCTCATTACTGGGGTTTGCTGATTACCACCTGGGCTCAAGGTCAATGAGAACACATATTTCAAGATAAAAAAGGCAAAGAGTGATAAAACACCTGATGTCCTGATCTGGCCTCCAAGGACATAGGCATGTGTAACACATGCACATGCACACACACACAGGCATGCACACACACACATGCACATGCATGCACACACACACTCATGGGATAACTTACGCTTAGGTGAGCTACCTGAAATGATCAGATTGTCAGAAGAGCATGCACACACATACACACACACACACACACACATGCACGCGCGCACACATGCAAGCACACATACACCTCACGGGATAACTTATGCTTAGATGAGCTGCCTGAAAGGATCAGGCTGTCAGAAGAGCTGATGGCTATGCAGGGAACACCATGAGACTCCATCCTGCCTGTTCTGGAAATCAGATGACCACACTATGTATCTCATGACTTGACCACTGCTCCCCTGTCAGAGATTTTGGGGTCACCGGCAACGAAAACAACTAGCCATTTCGATCACACCATCAGAGGATTGCTTTATTCTCCCACCACAAGCACATGGCGTGGAGGACTATTTGACTAGCCACATTCACCATTCACGCATGGACTGTTCTAGAGTCCTGTGCAGAGAATCACTGCCGGCTCGTTAGCAATTGTTGATGGAGTTGAGTGTTCCATCCACGGCCCTCCTGACCACACCCCCAGTTTACTAGACATTCCGGACTTTCACATATATTATTTTAGCTGTAGCAGAAACTGCCTGCCCTGCACCCGCCCCTGGCTGTCCGTAAACCCTGCACGCTGGAGTCACCTCAGGGTAGCAGTGAGAAAACTGCTCTGGACTCTGCCCGTGGGGACTGATGGCATCAGCCTGGGGAAGGTCCTGGCTCAAGAGCCATTCACTTTCCCTAAATGATGTGCTCATGTATCCACGTTTGAGAACCCATAGTTTCTGTTGATACCCCCAGTTTCTAGAAATGACTGTTGGGGACTTGTCGACCATAATCCCTTTTCTTTGGTAACTTTCTGTTTCTGGGACCTAGGGCGTGGCTAGGAGAGGAGGGAGAACTTGATCCACCCTGCTCAGAAAGTCCTGTGTTTGTCCTCTCAAATTGCTTTCTGTTTCGTTTTGATTCTCTTGTTCTTTATTCTTTCCTTCACCAAACCATATTCATTGCCTTCTCTAACCTGGTACCCTTCCTTTATGATCAAAGTCCAAGCTACAGATGATCTCATCCGTTCTCAAAATATCTCTGCAAGTGAGGAGGGAGCCAAGCCTTGGCTCTCCAAAGGAAATCAGGGACACCCACATCCAGAGACACTCTACCTGCCATACAACTTAAGGGAAGATGGAAGGTAAGACATGTGTAGCAAGCTTCACCTTGCAAAGCACTCTTGCCTGTATGACCCCATGGAAGTTTTACAGCAAGTTGATGCTGACTGCATTTGCCTAATCAGAGCACCACACATTCTCACAATTCTGGTCACATCTATCCTCAGTCTAAGCTCCACAGTTCCCATCACTCTCAAAGTATCTTGGTTTGGACAATGACTTGTTATCATTGTTAGCTTCCTTGCTATTAGTTATAAAGACTTTTGGCTAAAGGAGAGGTCAAAGAAGATTAGGGAAGTTGAGTGATTTGCTCATAGTCATCTAGTTCATTTGAGGCAGAGAGATGCCTTGGGCGCAGGTTATATGTAACATCAAGAGCCTAACTTGTCAGAATAAGGTCTAAGGGGCTGCCTTTGAAACTCAGTTGGTAGAGTGCTTCCCTAGCATGCATGAAATCCTGGGCTCCATCCCCAGTACCAAGCAAACTGGGCATGGTGGTGCACTCTTAGCATTGAGGAGATGGAGGTGGGAGGATTGGGAGCTCAAGGTCATCTTTCGGTACTTAGGGAACTCAAGGCCAGTCTGGGCTACATGATAGGCCGGAAAATAAATAATACAAGGACGGACATATCAGTGTCCTGGGAGAGACGGGATGTATAGAGTATGATGTGTAAGACCGAGGACTGAACCTGCATGCTGTCTGTGGGCTGCTTCAGAGCACTTCACACGCCTTCCCCCAACACAGAATTGCTGGCGGTATCATGACACAAACCCTGTTCTCGTAGCCTTGGGTACCGAAAGGGAGCATACCTCAGTTCACCAAGCGCTGTGACTGTAAGGATCATGAGGTCCGGTGAATCATAGTTCACTGTTTTATTCATTTCACAAAGAGTGAAATAACCTTCATGAATAAGGATGTGAGGGCCCAATGAGATCATTTCCTTCCCTGAGCTCCACATGACCTAGGATGCTGCTGTTCCTCGGCATGATGACAACTATCACTGCAGGAGAAACAGGTGATGGCCTCGGAGAGCAAGGAAAGGGGACAACGTGGAGTCTCAGGGAGTAGTGGGGTGGAACGGCAGACTCGGTGTTATGTGAAGTGGAGGGGGGGGTCTTTCACAGGCTGCTGACAATGACCAACATCACTGCTCCAGGTGGGGCCTCTTCTCTGTGAGTTACTTCAGAGGGACCAACCCACATTCCCTGTGAGCTACTTCAGAGGGACCAAACTACCCTCCCCTTCAGAAAGCACATCGGTTATCCAACACCAGACCTCAGAGACATTCTTTCTGTGGAAATCCGTAAGGGAAACTTCAGATTTGGGAAAGTATGATTCTGCAAACTAATCACCCCCTCCCCCAAAATGACACCGCTCAGAGCGGTTGCTTTACTCTAGACTCAACTGGTTATGTTTAGCAGACAGAGTTTCTCTGGGTAGCCTGGCTGTCCTGGAACTCGCTCTGTAGACCAGGTTGATTTTGAACTCAGAGATCCTCCTGCCTCTGCCTCCTGCATGCTGGGTGAACCACCACCGACCTGACTGACCCGGCTTTTGTGTATACTCTGTGACCATAACAGTAACTAGAAACTAAAAAATGAGAATAGGGGAATCAAACCAGCTCTGCCATCAATCTGGTCTTAGAGACCAAGGCCCGCTTGCCTCCCACTAATTGCTTCTCTTTAGAGAAAAAGCAGATGACAGCACAGATATTCTAGAATTCTCTGGGGGGCTACTTGAGCTGTGGAGTAAGCTTTTTTATATATAAATAGACAAAATCTCCAAATGCTGCCAACATGAAATTCCAAAGACACAGGTAGAATTGGTCTCTGCGTCTGGTAACAGGGCAAAGGGCTCCTTTGGCTTAAAAGAACCAATTTGTGTTTGAAATTTCCCTCAGGGAACCTGACACCTTGAAGTCCCTACTCCCAGGGAAGCTGAGCAAGTGCAAGAATGGCTCTCTTAAGGAACACAGCAAGCTGTGTGAAACCTCTGTCCATTCACCCTCCCAGCTGTAGGCCTGGGCACCTGAGCTGGGGGCTCCCGGTGTGGATCCCTTGGTCAAATCCTGTCCAGCCTGGGAGGCGACAGGGCCCTTGTTCATTACCTAGGTCGGCCGCCAGCACAAAAGGAGATCTAGATCACTTTGTAGACATAAAATAACTTTTAACAGATTATATATTATTATATTATATATAATATATTATATATATTATATTAGAAATTCAATATGTGTATTGAATAGTGTGTGTGTGCGTGTGTTTCAAAGATGTCAAAGAAGAAAAGATTGCTGTTCGGGTTTACACAAACCTAAAACTTTCTACAGAAGTCTGCACCATTGGCTTGGAAGGGGTGGTTTGAGCAAACTGACATCTTTCGGGCTCCCAGGTTATATGAACGCCCTTTAAGCAACAAGTGTGTTCTCCACACTCAGCACTCTGTTCTAGGAAACTGCCCTTGATTTTCTTCTCCTTTGTGAAAAGTTCAGGTAATCAGGCAGCGGAGCTCTCCCCCTCCCCCTAGTCCTGGCGACTCCGCCTGCCCAGAGGCTGCTTTCCTCCCGCCTCAGGTTTCCAAGTTTCTGCTTCTGCAGTGTCCCGCAAAGAGGGCTGATCAAATGTTTCTGCCCATGCCCGCGGACCTGGCCTTGTACTTCTTCAGCAGCTTGCAAAAGAAATACAGCCTCTGTCTCGCTCCTGCTCCTGCTCACGGAGCGCCCAAGAAGCTTAATCTGGTTCTGCTACACTAGAAGGTGCTGCTTTGCAGCCCTGACTCAGGTTGACTGGCAGGTCCCCTGGTTACAAATACTGCCCCACAGAATCATAATGACAATGACAATAACAGTGGGGAACGGGTGTTCGCTTTCTACTTTCCAAGCCACAAAACAAGAAAATAGTTTTGCGAGCTTCACTGTTATTTTAGTCTTTCTGAATAAAAAAAAAAAGGGGAACGGTGCTAGGAAATGCTATTTTTGCTTTGCCAAAGATCATTTTTATCAACGTTTCTCTCTCTCTCTCTCTCTCTCTCTCTCTCTCTCTCTCTCTCTCTCTCTCTCTCTCTCTCTCTCTCTTCCTCCTCCTCCTCCTCCTTCCTCTACTGTAGGAGAAAAGTTTACTGGTCCAGCCAGGTCCTCCTGTCCCTATATCTGGAGGCATCCTTTAAGATCAGCCTGGTCACGGCGACCCTTGGAGTCCAGGATCCATGGTGGTGACCTGCCCTACAGTGTTTCACAGACTGAAGGTCAGCTCTCCAGGAAGACAGACACCTGCCAGGTTGAAGTTTACTCCATCCTCCCGGGAACCCCTTGCAGAAAGGCCATCTGCAGAACCAGGAGGGCAGGGCGTTGGGCTGTGCTCCCTAGGGAGGGTCCCTAGTCCCAGAGGGATCTGCGCCCTGACACTTGAGATCACGACAGAGCCAGCACTGAGAGAGGCCCGCGGATGACGACCTACCTTCACGAAGAGCTCGATCTCGGGGTCCCTATCGTCCCCATTAGCTGTCGCTGAGTCCATCATACCGTCGGCGCTCCGGGCCGCGGTCCCGGGTCGGAGAGGCGCCACCTCTGCAGCACTTCAGGCTCCTGCTCACGGTGGGAGCCTCTCTTCTCAGCGCTGTTTAATTTCTTTTAAGGCTTCCAGTCTCTCATCAATTTCCCCAAGCAAGGACAGCGATGTCTGAGAGATCAGTGTCTCAGGTGACCCGGGGAAAGAACCGACTTCAAGAGCCAGCAGGGGGCTTAAGGGAAAAGCGAGCTAAGGGATTGACAACAGGTCCCGGGAGCAACAAGTGCCTGGCTGCTGGGAGGTGTCACAGGATCCGCGACTGTCAGCGATCCCGCGCCTCCGCCGGTGCGCCCAAAATAGACCGCGGCCGCGGGGCGGGGTCAATCCGGGCGGGGATTTGGCGGTCGGGAGGACGACACAGTGGGGAGCTCTGCTGCATCGGCTGCCTCCAGTCACCCCCTAAACCTTTCAGTACTCAAGGCTCATGCAGAGCCTGGGCAGTCCCAAATGACCAAGAGGACGTCCTGCAGGGGGTAACGAGACAAAGAGAGGGAGCCAGGGACAAGAGCAAAAGGAAAAGAGCCCACGGCTTTCAAGATTTTTAAATGTATACATTTTTATTTTTTTTAACAGAACAATTCAGCTAGACCAAGTTACTCTAGTACCAAAATTACGCACTTGCAAGGCGGGCCGAGTCCTGGGAAAAAGGAAAGAAGGGAAGATCCCGAGCTCGCAGCATTTGTGTCTTTGCACTGAGCAAACAGAGAAGGGGTGGGGCAGGAGCCTGTGAGAGGCAAAGGGGTGAGCCAACGGGGTCACGGGTACTGGAGTCAGGGATCAGCACTTTCAACTTTATGGGTCTCCCCTTACCCCTGGCTTTATTTTATTTTCCTCTGCTTCCTCTCTCTCTCTCTCTCTCTCTCTCTCTCTCTCTCTCTCTCTCTCTCTCTCTCTCTCTCTCTCTCTCTCCTTTTTCTCTCCCTACACATGCACACACCTCTCAGGCAGCCCAGACTGGCCTTTGGCCTTGAATGCACTATGTAATTGAAACTGAGCTTGAATTTCTCATCTTCCTGCCTCTAACTTCCCAATTGCTGGTTACAGGTGCATGCCACCACTCCAAGCTTTCTTTATTGTTTTTGTTTGTTTGTTTGTTTGTTTGTGAAGGGCGGGATGTTGTTTGTTTGGTTTGTTGTGCAATTTTGTTTTGTTTTGTTTGTGAACTATGATGGGGGGGGGATAATCACATCCTTGGGTATACAGCTAAATGTATTTTCACCTTCGGTTACCAGATGAAGGAATAAAATGTTAGCCACATCACCAGAAGTTCTTGATCCTTTTTCCCCCTGCTCCTCCCCAGCCAAGGTAACCATGACCCAGACTTGAACTAATCTAAGGTGAGAACTAGTCTAAGGGTTAGTGGAGTGAGGTTAGTGACCCTGGTTTCTTTCAACCCTAACGACAATGGACACATTTCCCTTGGATGTATCCTTAGGAGGGAGGTGCAGAACCACAGATTCCCAGGCGCTATTGTTAAACATTGCCTTGTGGTTTCCAAAAGTATCTTTCCCTATCTTTTGTTTCTTTTAAAAAGTAGTTGTCGAGCTTGGGAAAGGCTCAGTGTGCAAAACTCTTGCCAGACAAGCTTAAGGCCTTGAGTTGGGCTCCATAGCATCTGTGTAACTATTGGGCCTGCTTGGTGGCCTGTCTCTGCTCTCTGGGCTCTGGAGGTGGAGACCAAACAGACTGAATGAGCAGTCTGAACTCAGTCTGAACTGTGGGTTCGGGTGAAAGAGCTTGCCTCAATCTAAGACAGAAAGCAATTCAAGAAAGACATTGGCTGTCTTAATTTTTACAAATGGTGTTATTGGCCCGATTTTATAGTGGGGAAACTGAGGCATAGTAGACTTAAGAAACTTGATTCCAGTTATCAATCTAGGACATGGGAAAGTCAGAATTTGAATAAACTGGTATTTCCTCCTCAGTTACTCAACTAACTGTGTCTCTCACACAGTGCACACGGAACTGAAGGAAATGAGATCTGGTCCTAATCAATGAAGAGTAAAATCCATTCCAGTGAAGTAGTCCTAGAAGGCAACCTCAAGGCTGTCACACGAACTAGGCAGATGGAGGGTTTGTGTCCGAGTTTGGATCTGAACGGTCACTTGACTCCAGCCGTGGCACTATTGGAGCCTCTAAGAGGTGGGGCCTACCAGTAGAAGGCAGTTGGGTCACTGGGGCCGTGTCCTAAAAGGCAATCGTCTTAGTTAGTTCTCTATTGATGTGAGGAGACACCAGGACCAAGGCAAGGTACTTAAAAAAGCACTCAATTAGGAGCTTGCTTACCGTTTCAGAGGGTCCATGGCGGGGAGCATGGAGCGGACAGGCAGACTTGGTACTGGAGCAGCAGCTAAGTGTCTACATCTCATCCACGAGTTAGAGGCAGAGCAAAATCAAGACTGGACCTGGCATGGGCTTCAATCACACTCCCTACAACAAGTCTACACTCCTAATCCTTCCCAAAACAATTCTGCCAATTGGAGGACGGGCATTTAAACATATGAACCTATAGGAGTCATTCTCATTCAAACTATCACAGGAGTTAAGCAACCATACCGATCCGTCTTTTTGCTAGCCTCCATCCACACAAGTCCCTGTCATTGTGTACAGTGTTACCACAGGTCCTAAGCAATGAGGCTAATGGGTGATGGACTATAGAACCTCTAAAACTGAACCCAAAATAAACCTTTCTTCTTTTTAAGTAGTTTATCTCAGGTATCTTGCTATGGCAAAAAAAAAAAAAAGTGGACTAGCACAGAGGGGCTCCACGGGACAGCACACAAAGGGCCTTCTTCACCCTGTAGGGATGGGAGGAAGGAAAGGCTACACACAGCACAAGCTGATTCGGCGGAAACTCCCTGGTCATGTTTCCGGTAGGTAGGTAGAGGAGGACAATGCTATGGCCACCATTACAGACTCCAAGTTCAGGCATTCCCTTCCTGCTGAAGACAGCACCATCATGGCTGACATGCAACCCTCTGGGCTCTTCATCAGGATGAGGTTCAATGTCTCGGCTTTTCCTCCTTGCTTTCAGACTTACATCACGGAAGCCTTTACACAAGCTTTACACAAGCTGTCACCTTCACAGCTGAAACTCTGCACCAGTGATGACAATCCCTAGGGCAGGACCCGGGTTACAAAGGAGTCTGGGGCTTTCGCTGTATCACACCTTCTGTGAACCGGAGTGTGGGAATGTCTTCAGATTACGTCAGCAAGCACAAACAAAATTAGAGAGAAAGCCTTAGGAGATCTTTTAAATGGAAAGTCCTTTATGGGAGCTTTGGATCATGCTCTTGCCTAGGATCCAAGCAATGCGTGGGACGATCTTTCTTTCTGAATCTCAAGCCTGGCACAGACATATTGGAAAACAGGAAGTTTCTGCTTATTAATATTTCTAGAAATCATCACCCATGGCAGCCCTGCAAATAACTCATAGTTTAAATACAAAACCTTCATATTTTTCTGGTCTTTATGTGTATTGTGGGTGTATGTCATTTGTAGGTACACACAGAAGTCAGAAAAGAGAGCCAGATCCCCTAGAGCTGGAGTTAGATCCCCTAGAGGTGGAGATCGTACACCACCTGACCTGGGTGCTGGGAACCAAACTCAGGTCCTCCACAAGAGCAGGAAGTGCTCTTAACTGCTAAATGGTCTCCCCAGCCCCTATGCACCTTCTTGCTGTCCCACCCCACTTCAGGCTTGGCCATCAACTATTTTTGTACACAGTTTTACTACTAACTCCATAGTATGGTTGATATAATGGCTTTACTTTTATACCCAAATGTTATGGCATATTACTTTAACTATATAAAGCTGTGTTGCATATGTTTGTGTTGCAGAATATTAGCTAGGTAAAACTGCATTGCATGTGTATATGCTGTATTTGTCTAGCTCTATAAAAATGTGTTGCAATTCTACCTTGCCTGTTTACGGCATCTGATTTGGCCCAATTAAAAGTTGAACAGCCAATAGCTAGGCAGTAGAAGGATAGGTGGGGCTGGTGGGGAGAGAGAATAAGTAGTAGGAGGAATCTAGGCTCTCTCTCGAGAGAAGAGCATGAAGGAGAAAGAGAGGCAGATGCCTGGGGACAGTCAGGCAGTCACCAGACAGATAGACATGGAGTAGGACACACAGAATGAAAGAAAGTAAAAAGCCCCAAGGCAAAACACAGATGAAGATAAACAGGTTAAATTAGAATTATAAGAGCTAGTGGGACAAGCATAAGATAAGGTTAGGCATTCATAACTAATATGAAGTCCCCATGTCACCGTTTGGGAGCTGTTTGGTGGCCCAAAAGAAAGCCTGCTGCACCCAGCGCTGCCCAAGCAAACTTGCTTAGAGCCAAGGGCAGCTTTGACAGGCAGAAAACACTTTACTTCTCATTTAGCCCACATCATTATAAACTCAGCACAATTTTTAGATTAGGCTTTATCAGGAAAGAACTGCAAAAAAATGCTTTTAGTGTTCTCTTTGCCAGCACACAGGCTAAAATTGGAACCAGAGAGAGGAGATTACCATTGCCTGGGAAACGCTGATATGTGGGTCTCTATAATACCTGTATTTTTGTACAACTATTGAAGGAAAACTACAACATATATGATATATTTAAATATATGAGGTTGATTAATTTAAATTTGTTAATATGACAAATACAACATAAAGAACGGAAGTTAAAGTAATTTGTGTAGTTGCAGAGTTCATATAATCCAAGTGAAATGCTAAATTGTTTGCCATAAATATAAAAAAAGCTGAGTAGTCCTATTGTAAATCCCAAATAAAGACCTCTTTTTTTATACAAAGTGATATAGTAGAATGGTGTAGGAGGATCTTCTTTCTATATGTTGCTTTCATTAGTTAATAAAGAAACTGCCTTGGCCTTTTGATAGGGCAGCAGCTTAGATAGGTGGAGTAGACAGAACAGAATGCTGGAAGAAAGAAGGCAGAGAAAGAGAGCTGCCCACCATGAAGTTGCCAGGTCAGACATGTTGAATCTTTTCCAGTAAGTCACAACCTTGTGGTGACATACAGATTATTAGAAATGGGTTGAATCAAGATGTGAGAGTTAGCCAATAAGAGGCTAGAACTAATGGGCCAGGCAGTGTTTAAATGAATACAATTTGTGTGTTGTTATTTAGGGGTATAAGCTAGCCAGGCAGCCAGGAGCCGGGCAGTGGGAACACAGCCCGTTGCTCCTTTTTACAACAGTAGAAATGCAGATGAGGACTGGAGAGATGACTCAGCAGTCAGGACTG